ATACAGTTTTGAAGTTCATTTTTGGGGCTAGGAAAACATGGTTGGATCTCGAATTTAATCTGAGATTGATTTTAGAAATTACATCAGGATTGAATAAGTTTGGGACGGTTGAAAGGAGGTTCGATAAAGTATATATTAGCGACCACTGTGAATTACATACTTTGAATAACGTACACACTTCTATGAAACACGTATGTGAGTCATAAATAATTGACACAAATCGTTACTTATGATTAGATATCAAATTTCTTACATCTAGCAATAATAATAATAATAATTTAATTGTAGTGTCCTGTTTATTTCTGTTTTATATTTCTTCTGGTAATATTGTCCTTTGTAAATATGATACGATCTTTTATATGCATCTCTTATTGTGTTTGGTATTAATTGGTTTATTTGTGTTTTTTAAAGTTGAGGTTAGGAAAATATGGTTGAACCTCGAATTGATAAATTGTCACTCCGCGTGCACTTCTCATCAAACCGTGTATATTAATTAAAGGGAAAAAAAATTACAATCTCTATAAGAAACAAAAAATATATGACTGTATTATATATTAACATAAAATTAAATTATGTAAATTGGTTACAGCAGCGCCACCTATTTCTTCATACCATTTGTATTTTGTGGATGTTGTTATTCATTAAAACCCAAACTTTTTTTTGCATTCAACATTTTTTTCTCTATCTCTGTTAGCTTTTTAGAAATGCAATTAAATTGGTATTTCGTTCACAACTTCGAGGGTAGTTTTCACTCCTCATATTTTTTAAATTTCACGGAAATTAGCATGTAACAGTTGGCTCATGTTTCTTGTTAGGAAAACTTAACAATGAGCATATTTAAATTTTCGGTTGTTAATAGATTATTTTATATAATAATACCTTACATCACAACGGTATCAGCATTAAAGGTTACCCAAATGTGAATATGTCTGTAGGTTACTTATTTCATTAATAGTGGATTACTGAAGTATCCTGTACGTTGTGAAATCAAAGTGCAACTTATAAATTCCTGCGAATAATGAACAATGCTTTCGTATGATAGAGACAGTGAACTATAGATCTAGTGTGATAAAGTCTTGACTACCTAATGCTAACATCAACTATAAACAATTAATGTTGCTGAAACATCAATCAAAGGACAAAATGTTCAGTCTCGATTGGGGCTTTCATTTCCTGCAAGACGAATACGGCGGTAAGCTCATCGAAATTTAAAGAATATTATTTGTGTCGATACAATTAGTTTACTTGTAAATTAAGAACACCTTTACTTCCCTCTGTCTAAAAAAAATGTATATTTTATTGTTAAATATTTATGACTTTTTTTCACATATTATTATAGCATGAACAAAAATTGGTTCCCAATTATACGCAAAACAAAAAGTCAACTCTAGAACAATTATATTTCTTAAATTGTTTTTACCGTTTCAACTTCAGTTTTTATCACATTCAATCAAAATAATTCCCATTCGATTACACGCATTCCATTCAACGACAAATTAATTTTACTATCCCAGACAAAACAAACCTATCACAACCAAAAATACAGATTTCCGAAACGCTATTTTTACACTAATTTTACTCAAAGATTCGCTTTAAAGTTGCTAGAAGAGGACCTGAAAATTGCAGTCGAAACATCGATTCACAATTAACAAAACGTAATCGTTAGACATACTCCCGGAAGTAAAAATCACCCTCAGGCACAAAATGTGTTTCTCCCAAGTGCCATAAATCAGGCGTTTACGACTTAATACGTCGTTCGTCCAACGATTGCCGACGTTGAAACACTGAGAAAACGAGTAATCGCGCAATTTCATTGCCGTCGTTCTCGCCACCTCATGCTGTGCGTCCACTGAACCACCGACTTCCAATTCGCATGAACGCGTATACGTTGAAAAAAGTTTCTCGGCTGAGAACTCAGGAAAGCTCCAGTAGCAGCGGTCCCCGCTGAGAACTTTTCTCGTTTTGAACGTTTTGACGTGGCTCGACGTACCAGGCTGCCGTGGAATAATGCGTAGTCGTAGTCGGAGACCAATTAAACCGTTCCACATCTCTTCCATTGCGGACTGTATTGATTTAATTATCGTGTCGCGGTAGCTGTACGCGGTAGACGGCGCAGTGCATCGGACTTGTTTCACTTTTTGTTGGATGTTCGCGTTCTTTGCACAGGGTGTTTACTTATTCATAGGCTTGCGAGACAAGTACAGATAGGAAAATAAGTTTATAGTTAACGTACAGTGGGTGAACAATGTATTGACTTGCAAAGGCAGTTTGGTAATTGAAACACTCCGAAGAATTCGAATTTTTGTAGAAATAAAGTTCACGGGAAATTAATCACTAGACCGCGGATCTTTATACAAAATCAAATCTTCGCGAATGTGGTTATTCTGGAAATATTATAACATGAACTTTACTTTCGATCTTTTTTATATTCTTGCATATTGTTTGCATTTTGTAATTTCTTGCACGTTCAAATTTCCTATAAATGCACAAAGATCCGCAGTCTATTCATCACAGTGCCTTTTTCCATTTTGGCCCAAAAACAGTTTTAGGGGTAGAAACACTCCGTTCGAAATAATTTTGATTATTTATATTTTTGCTAATATCTTCGAAATCATAAGAAATATTGAAACTGTTTTACATGAAAATTTGATCGATTTTAATCCTTTGACTGCAAAGGGCGTATGTATACGTCCTTGGGAAATGGGCTCAGAGAAATGTTTATATTCGTTAAATCAGTTTTACAAAAATATCAACTGATAGGGAATAATGAGAAGAAACTTTTTTATACTTACAGTTTATTCATAGGATGCTTAGTTTCGAAGAGAAAAATTGAAAAGCCAGAAACATCTGAAACTAAATTCCTCCATAAAAAATCAAATATTGTATTTTTAGAGGTATCAAACGAAAGAGTATAATTTGTTGCCATTTTTGTATAAAGTTTATTGCCATAAAAAGATATTTTAAACAATGATATTCCGGATGTCAGTTCTTATAGAAGAAACTAAAATTTTACAGTCAGTGTAATAAGTATTCGTACAAGAATCGCTTCAAAATAAAACTTCATCTATTTATTTTATTAATAAATACTAGGGGAAGAAATAATAAACCAACATTCCTACACATTTTTAGAGTAGATTTTGCGTAAATTGAAGTTTATTACTTTTAATGTTAACCTCTTATTTCTTTTCTTATTAATTTTATTTTGAATTGGTTGCTGTACGAATACTTATTACACTGACTGTACGTTCAATGGTGATCTCCGATGAGTGACAGTTGATATCTTTGTGAAAATGTTCTCAAAGTTTCATTTAATTTTACACATTCTTTTCTCGCTAAAAAAATTCATGCAGATCGCTAAAAAAACGTACTACTCCTAAACCTATTTAAAGAACCTTCAAACCTCCTTTGAAGAACCTAAGTCACAGAAGTACCAAAACAAACATTCTCTTCCTTAACCCAAAATACAAGAGTCTTATCAGAGTTTCTAAAGATATCTGAGATACAAAACAGTTCTGTCATCTTGACACTACCGCATAGATTCTATCCGTCCACGAGCGACTTCTTTCTCATCTTCTTCTTCTCTCCGCTTCCTGCACGGCTGTCAACAGGTCGCCTCCCTCCTGTTGATTTATCAACGTACTTCTAATCAAGAGAGCACTCGCGCGCGAGAGGACGCGCGACCAGGGAAGCTGTATTAGTTAACCTTGTCAGATGGGTTGGTAGCTACCTTCTAGCTGGTCGTGCATGCTAAGTAGCCACTTCGTGGGTGGTGCTCCCGACTACCACCTACAGTTGCAACCGCGGAGCACATGGTATTCGCCGATCGATCGATCGATACGCGTTCTATCCCCGAGTGATTGGAATTGCTACCCCCTCTTGCACGTTCCACAGATTGTCGAACATAGCAACTGAATGCGAGTATGCCAGTACCGCTCTTCACTTTTCATCGTACGTTTGGCAAGTGCCACTTCACGGATCACCAACGTATTATTGCTGCGAATGAGTTTTCCAATTCGAGCTTCAGGATTTCGTTTTTCTTATAAATGTATACGAGATGTATTCCATTTTTAAAATTTTTATGAATTTTGTAGATTGACTTTCAGACAGTTGGACGTAAAAGATGATGTTATTTAAGTGTCCAGCACTATGTTGACTAGTGTATTTTGTTATTAAAGTATAGAATCTTATAGACCCTTTGAGCAAACTCTGGAGTCTTAATTATCTATCGTGATATTATTACAAATTGCTCGAAGTGCGATTGACTAATGTTTCAACTAGACGATATTTTTCTTATGTTCGTATCAAGGATACTTAACCATTTACGACACTTAATCGTTATTGGTTTTGTTAATAGAACTCAAAAATCATGAAACAAAGGGACGATTACATTTTCTAACTCCATAGTTAAACACATTACACAACGAATAAAATTTTTATACAATTTAATTAAAACTATTTATCCTTACTGGTTTTAGGACAATTAATCCTTATTGGTTTTGTTAATAGAACGTGGACGATTACATTCTTTAACAAATGAAAAGTATCACCAGTCCGTAATTAAACACATTAGAGTAATTAGGCAACGGATACAATTTTTACCCAATTTAATTAAAACAATACTTGGATTTCACTATATTAAAAAATGAATTCTCTATCTAATTAAAAATGATCCTCGTCCTCTTTCCAAACGATTCAGCCTGACGGTACAACTATACACACGCGCACGCATTGTCAGACGCACACCGTTCGTTATTAGACAATGAATCGTAGATCTCACGGGTCTCTTTCGATCCTCGATTGATTTGATTAAAATCTTTCCATTGATTTCATTCGGATCCTCGGTTCCGACATCTAGGGCGGTCCCTTTAATGACAGCATACGGAAAGGGTTACCTCGTGGGTGGTGCTTGCATCTGCATTTGTTCGATTCTGCCGTTTATCCATTCTGCATTAACCTGCTATCGACTTCGCGATCTAACGATGGCGTTCTTGCTGTTTCAGGTTCGGAGAAGAACGGATTCCCCGATGGCGGTGGTCCTTACGCGTATCAATTCGGTGAGTGCCGTCATTTCAAGTTAAAATTGATCCAAATTGATCTATAAATTTGCATATTCATGTCGCGTATCGACAATTTCAATTTTTCGTTTCAAGTATTTAACACCCTTAAATATTATGGGCAAAATTCAAGAATTTTTTACACAATTTAAATACATATTTTAGACAAAAGCAAAGCGTAATTTTACAGTTAGTGTTGAATTTAATATATATGTATATATATGGCACAAAAAAAAAATATATATATATACATATATACAAAATATACAATCTGTCGCAGCCAGTTGACGCAGCAAATATAATTTAAATAATATTAAATTGTATATACAATATATATATTTACATATAGATATATTTTTCGTTAAGATATACAGACAGTGTAATAAGTATTCGTGGAGCAACCAAATTTAAAATAAATGGTTCCTGTAAAAATGGCCAAGATACAGTAGTCTCTAGGAACGTCTTTTTTTTTGGTGTACACGAGGACTTTTTGAACTTTTTCCATTCGCGACCCCATTTATGATCGTGGTTTTTTTTCGGAATCCAAAATATATAAAATTAAGACACGTAAATATTTTGTGATGATTTATATAGTTTTAGAATTCGTTTGAAAACATACAAAAATATGAAATTAAAAATTGCACAAAAAGTTGTAAAATTGTATTTACCATAGTTACAAAAATTATATACCCTATTTTTCATCGTAACTGCGTTTCTTGCAATAACATAAATATAAGAAAATATTGAAGAGAATATTAAATATTTTACATCAAAATCACGCGAATCCATTCAAGTACACGATAACTTGAGAACGTCTAACAAAATTATTCTGTTAGAATATGTCAGGATCTGCTGAATGAATATGTTCTTCTTTCGGATTATTCTAGGTAGGCTTTTCCCATTAACCCATTCACTGCGAACTACAAGATGTCTCGTACTTCAAATTTATTGCAATTACCCAAGGGAGAAGTTTATATCCTCTTGAGTCACGAATTATTGCAAAAGAACATCGTAAATTTTCTTCTTAAAACAACGAATTTAATATCACCTTTTATTATCAAAATAATAACCTAGATTACACATCTGTATTAAATCTTGGAGCCCGAAGCAAAACGCTTCAAATTTGTCTGGCAGAGAAAAAAAAACAACTATCTAGCTACCGCTGTTTTTATTCAGTTCTACCGTCTACCCGCTATCTCGAATCTTGTTAACCAACTAATTAACTAGTTGCTGATTTATCACGCTGGTGCATCGGGCAAACGAAAAGAATTCCGTTCACACTAGCCAGATTGATCTGTCTTTTCAAAATTAGAAAGCTTAAAGGTCGGCTTACATCAGAACCACGCGCATTCTTAACACGATACGATCACTCAATCACTTCGAACAACATTCTATCCCCCTGTCGTTACCGTTTCAGTCTTTCTTTTTTTTTTTCTGGATTAAAACCACACGCTAAAGCACGGCGAGAAGTCGATACCGCAAAACGAGGCACGTAGAGGTGCTACCAGAAGGATCGAGCGATCGTCCCGAGACAATGAAATCCCCCTCGCAGTGGCTAATTACGCGTAACGGGGCCACGTATCCCAAATAAAGTGGCTCCGACACCCTCGAATCAAGGTGTATCGATCTCGAGCCGGGGTCGTGGTCGACGCGTAGCCAAACGATTAGGGTTTAACGATTATTCGCGGTCCTACGGAGGAGTTAACCGGTCGTAGAAGTAATAACGGCCGACAATCTGGCCTGGCAATCAATGAGTACGTGTTTATGTAAATCGAACGAGCCACGACACGAACCACGCGAGCAACTTTTCCTATGCGGTCGAGCCCCATGCCGACCGAGGGTAGGAATGCTTTGTTATCTCACGAGGAAGACGACATATCCTCGCTGCACGCAAGCCTCCTTGCCACTGACCCCCTCGATGACGGATCTGGTCATTCCGTGGGATCGTTGTTGCCTTCTTGCGCGTATTCTTCTGTATTTTCAAGCTCTAGGAAGCTTTGTTCTTTGGCTAGTTGTTCTTGGTTAGTTGCTTTTGGGAAATTCTTACATTAACTTGAATTTTGTTAGAATTGAATCAGACGATTCTACACCGAGTTAGGCACTTCAAAGTCACATACATTGTTACGGAAAAAAACAATTGTTTAAAAGTATCTGACAATAATAATAAATATGTATCAGGTAGTAGAAATTGCGCCTTTCAAATTGAATTTTGGTAGAATCGAATCTAGCTATGACACCTCAAAGTTTTCTATTTTATAGACAATTATAAGAGAAGGACAGACGTAGTGACTTATATACATACAGCCATATGTTCTTGCAAGGCCGTTCCAATTCCGAGAAATACTAGTAAACATCGTAATATTTCCTGGAAGTAACACGAAATATTCTCCAAGTCAAGCGAACAGCCCAAAGTCTTGTTGCCCTCGAGTCATCCGGGTTCTAGAAAGGCGTAAGAGCGTCGAGCGACGAACATCGGTTTATGCGCCGTTCTGACAGTCGATCAACCGTCTAAAAAATCCGCATCCTCGACGTTAACGGGTAGCCGACGACCCTAGCAGCTGTAACTCTTCCTGATCGACGATTATCCACGGCAAGTAGCGCCGTCTTCCTCGCGAGGGTATCGTTGCCGGGCTCCGCGAGGCAGATGTAAAGCAGAATAATTGTAGTCATTACTTTGTTAAACAGGATTTCGCCACCGCCGATCCACCAGCCCTCTCCTCCTCTGTCGTGCGGTCAACTGCGACGCTATAAAATTTTTAGTGCGTCAAGCGCTGTTATTGGTACGTTCACGTACGCGCGTCTCAACCTCGACGCCCGGTCCCGTCGTTAACGACATAAAATTGCACCACTCGTTGCATTTGTTTGTCGTGGTCAGCTAGCCACCATTTGCTCCGGCCCCGAACATCCGTTTAACCAGAACGAATTGCACGACGGTCCGCGGTAATGACAGGTATGCTAGAACGTTCCTCCGGTTGGTAGCCGTGTCACTTTTTTCCCCTCCCCTCCCCTCCCCCCCCTTCCCTCTCGTTTTCGCATCACAGCTGCCCCTGGATTTATCGGTGTGCCGGTGGCGTTCAATTTATGGTAAGTATCGCCGGTGAACATTTGAGGGACGCAAACGGTTCCACGGATAGTTGCGCCGTACGATAGTTGTAACTTTTTGGCCCCGCGTCGATGCAAAGGAGACACTGTAATTTGCGAAAGTGGTACTTGAGACACCAGTCGCTTTATTTACAAGCGTTTCGTTGAAATGTTGCACGGTTTGCTTGCTTCGAGCGATGGGATACTGTAGGACAATGCCTTTGGTCGGCCTGGCTGCGTTAGCTGTGCTACTTTTCGATTAAGGAGGGTATTCTATTCTAAAACGTCAATTTTTTCTTCTTTTTGAGGATTTCTTTTTTTTTTTAACCTATATGAAATTTTTATAAAGGTTTTGCATACATATTTATTCGGCAGGTAATTTAGAACATTATTTTTCAGGTAAAAATAATCAAAATTAAACGTAGTACAAGTGGTCTTGTACAGTCCCTCCTGAGAAAAGAAGGTTTGATAAACTATAGTAAAGTTAGCGACCACTGTGAATTATATTCTTTACACTTCTATAATACACATATGTGAGTCATCAATAATTGACAATTGATTCGTATTAATTTCGTCAGAATCGACATTACAGAAATTAAATCCGTCACTGCTTTCGTGCCTTTCCTCTGGGTTACAACTATTTATTTTCACCTCCAGAATCATCATTGCTTCATCGCTCGGATTTCACCAATTCTGGTACAGCCCGAATTCCTCGAAGACCTCGAAATAGGCGAAAGTTTGGAGACAGTCGATCCCTCCCAGGTCATTTTCACGAGGAATCCAGTTCACAAAGTCAACTCGGCTCTGCGTTCCACGTGTCGGCGAGTTCGTACGCGGAGTTCGTATCAAACGCAATGGAATAGCATTGTCGTTCGTCGAATGGGAGCCGCAGAGGCCGATCAATTATGCCAGTCGATTCCAGGCCACGAAATGTCAAGGCTCCACCTCGATGGAATTCTAAGCTAGCCTCATCCTCGACGTCGATATCGGGTTCAGAACCTGATACATGTGTGCTCGTCGCATGAGCGTCATTGATAATGCTGTGCTCGGTGATCTCCGACTGGAATATCGATTCGATCGATTCCTTCTGCCCAGGGAAACGCATCGATCCTCGTGTAATTAGAGGCCTCTGGGGAGGAAACTTGTTTTCGATTGTGAGAGGACTCTCGAAGAAATGGAATTAGATCAATGATTTGTGTCCGGTGCAAAGTTCGCTATAATTGACGTTCAGAGTATTATTCTTCGGATAATTATTCGGACATGTTATTCTTTGGTGGATGGATCCAGATGGAAAGGAGGAATTTCGAAAAAAAGGATGTTCTTTAAGAAATTCATCGAATAAAAATAGATTCAGTTGAGGACAAAGTATGTACTCTAAAAAATAGTAGCATCTACAGTATGGTAGTTAGCGACGAATTCGATTGGGTTTCTGATTAATTAACGGTGCTATATACTAATTCAGAGTTTGGTGTCCTTGATGTAATTGATGGTATTTTGCACATGTTTCTGGGATACTAGTGCTGTTGTGGGTTTAGGTTGTACTTTCTTCTTTGTAAGTCAAATCTTCTGCATTCGTACAATAGGTGGTTAATTGTAATTTCCTTATTGCAGGAGTCGCAGTAGGGGGGGTCCGTTTTCTTTAATAGGTGTTCATGTGTGATTTTTGAGTGTCCAATTCTCAATCTAGTCATTATTATTTTTTCTCCAAAGACGTTCTTCTCTTCTTCGATAAACCACATTTCACTTGCGACGTTTCCTTACCAGTCTCCAAATAGCCATTCATTTCCATCACAACTGGAACGTAACGACAATTTTTCCGCTCGAACCGTAAACAAATCAACCCCCATTCGTATCCGACGCTTCGGTTCGGGGTTTTCTAGTGGAAATGGCCACCCGTGAACCACCGGGGCGAGATCATC